AATATTAGTTTATGTAGATCAATTGTCATAATACAATGTGTGAAGGTAATAATTTTCTTTTTGTGTAATATGTAAATTACTTTTGATAATTTATTAAATTGAGAGCGGGATTAATAAATAAAATATAAGTATTATCAAAAATAGTACTGTCAAACTAGAGGGGAATAAATGTATTTAAGTTTCACTTGTTAATTATAAAAGTAGTTTGTTACGATTTTGGAGGTTTTTAAAAACCTACTTGGTACTACCCTATGAAGTCTCTAAAATTAGTAGTATGTCTAGATATAACATAATATTTACATTTTTACATTTTATGACTGTAAGAGGTTCTTAAAACACATCGAAAAGTCTTTTAAGGGTAAAATTTCATCGATTATGTACATATGTAAAGTACAGAACTATGTTGGTATGGGTGGTTTTGTAATAGGTAATTAAAATATTTGCAAAAATTTCCGATAGTCTAACATTCAGGTATGGATTCAGAGCAAAGATCTAGGGGATTCAAAAATGTTGTGACAACACTAATACAATATACGCATTAAGTATAAATACAGTATTAATTATATAGTATTTACAATCTTTGGTAGTATATTAGTATACAGTAGTCTTGGTTTTTTTTTTGGTGGCGGGAATGACTCCCTGGAACCGTTCCTGTTAACATTATTTGTATATGTACGTATATAGAACGAATAAAAAATGTAAAGACTTGAATATCTGCACATGGCTATTATGGGAGTATTTTTCTCTATAATCACTATCTTTTAACCTACAACCCAATTGTGAATTGGCTTGTGTATTTAACCAGATATACGGATAGACATAGGTAGTTAACAAAAAATTCAAATATACCAAAAAAATCTTACATTAATTAATTTGGAAAAATGTTAACCTTAAAGTTTATCTTAAGGTTGTCAGAACCATTACTCAAAGTCTTAAAGGTTATTCATCGATGAAAATGATTAATATTCATTGATGAGTAAGTGTTAAGCGTATTTAATGTTATTATTATAAATACCATGCAACTACCAATAATATTTAGTAAATAGTATAATTGTATAGTAAATTATCGACAACTTGAACAATTATTTTATGAACCTAGTTCTAGATAACTCTGAGAAGGTCTGCTTCACGAATAGCTTATAATTATTTTTTTTTGATTTTTCATTCATTTTTGTTATTATTGATTCATATAAATCTACTATCAACCAATAAAATATTAAATTATGTATTTTTGTTACTGTACTCTTGTACGGTTAGAAAATATTGGATTAACATTCGATATCTATTCATTATCATCAAAGGCGGCGGGTATAATGTTGATAAATATTTGTGTCTGACACTCTGACGTAATACCTTTATGACGAGCACCAAAAATACTTCGTTCTTAAACTTTGAGGGTAGTTCGGTTTCTGGTAGCAAATTGGATCTAGATGGTACTTTCATAATACTATAATAATCGAGAAAAAAAACTACGGAAAGTTTTTTTGGTTTAATGTTGTAGATAATTAATGTAAGAATGAAAAACCTTCTCAATTTTAAATTTTTAGTGAAAACAAGAATACAATAATTACTTATATTAGTATTTTCAAACAAAACTGATTCTTTTTGTTCTATTTAGGTATATAGATATTTTACATTTTCGAGTTTTTTTAAAAAAAATTTATAAGTGCACAATGTACATAGACATTTTTAATTTAGGTAAGTATGGTTTAATTTTTTCAATTAATGTATAATAACATTTTTGTTTATGAGTAAAACTTTCAAATATAATATGTACGATAGAAGGTATTTTAAAAATTCTTACAGAAATTAACAAAATATAGAAAATACATCACAATATTTTTCAATTATTTAGAGGTAGGTTCTAACTTTACTATTCACTTTTTTACTTGTTGAAAATGTATTTTAGATATTACTATGTTCAATATTATATTTAGATTAATTATAAGCCATTTATACCACGAACTTATTGATTCCGATCTACGGTACGTCGGTATTGACTTATAAGTTAATAACGGCTACCTAGGAAAATCATAATTATTTTTATAATATTATATTCCTATTTCTTTTTTGAGAAAAATTATATCAACCTACAGTATGCAATATAATACATAATACGATATCTGTAGGAATATAGGCAGTCAAACACTCTCCGTTCAGAATCTAACCTAACCGTTCAGAATCGTTGTTTAGGTACAAACTACAATGATTTATCTTAGTTATTACATATATATTTTGTTATAAAATGGTCGATTCCTTGTACATTTTACTCTATTATTGTTAATTATGTATTGGTACAATTCTAAATTGTTTGTATAACACGTTGGTATAGATAAACAATGTATACTAAGAGCAATGATAGGCTTGATTAACAAAATATAATTTCATTTTCTATGTCATTAAAAAGATGTACAAATTTTGAATAAATAAAAAAAACGTTATTGTTAACCATACTAAATGTATTAAAATTTCAGAAAGATTATGCTATAAATAAACTCATTGAAAAAAATTAATATGGTTTGATAAATGAATCATCCGGTATATTATATTTTAGCGTAATAAAATGGTATACTTTTATTTTTACAAGTTTGATATACACATACATTTACTTCAGTGTAGCCGCAGCTTAGTTGTAGTGCATCTACTAAAATATGTACACGATCATTGAATTTATTATTGTATACTGTCTTCTTCTACTCGCGATTCATTTTTTCGTGCACTTTACATCTAAAGTTCAAACCGTGAACATATCTATAATTTTCTTTAGTGAGTTTTCAATACCTCAACAATTTATTTTCTGAATAAAGAGCTATTTACTAAATAATCAAGTATGTTTGCATTATAAATTTAATACATATTAAAAAAACATTATAAGTGCTTTAGTATTAAAGTGTATTTTTTTAAACTTTAAAAATATTGGTTAGTAAGAAGGTTGAGCATCATTAATAATTCTATGTATAGAGAATAACGCTAAATTCAATATTTTTTCCAAGTTTGATATCTAAGAAATAATTGCTTAAAATAAACAAGACAAAGTCGTTCAATATTAAACTAGTTAAAAATACTCCTACTCAAGTTTAAGAAGTACTTCGTTAAAAAATTAAAGTATATATATATATATTAAAATATCTTAAGTTAGTAATTCTTTTATAGGATTTTTAAATAATATTAGTATTGTATATATGACTTAAACTATAATACATACATAGCATCGTTCTAAAAAGTATTGTAAATATTAACTAATTTATGTAATACATGTAGTAATATTTTTAAATTTTAAATTTAATATTGTTATCATAATTATAATTATACACATCTATCGATAAAACAGAAAAAGAGTTAATAGTTCGAGGTCATTTCCTCAGAAATTATCCAAGCCGTCCAAAACATACTATAAATATTAAATTTATAAATATAAATACATCATTTTTAAGACATAGTTAATAATACAATTATGTGCATTATTAAAATTCATATTATTTCTACTTTATAATATTATGTTGATTTAATACTTTAATATTTATATAATATATAAAAAGAAATTCAAAGTATTTATATTTGAAATCTATGACTTACTTATTTAGTTTAGTTGTACACTGACTAACTTGAATTTTTAAATAAGCACATATATTGTAATTATATTAAATGATTAACTATTCATAAAATATTCCTGCATATTATAAAGCTAATTTTTCGTATTCTCGTAGTTTTTTTTTATTTGCTAAAAAAGTGTTTGCCTACTATATTTTGTAAGATGATACAATAAAAAGCGGGTAAGTGGATGTCGCTCTGCTGTACAGTAGATTACAAGTGGGACATTGTATAATGGATTGAAATAAACTTGAATTCAATGATATTCTATCATTGTATAAGAAAAACGATTCTGAGCGGAGACGGTTTGTCAGTCTGGATATTTTATATTGTCATTAATTATTTTATCATGTAAGTTGAATTAATATTATAATATTATTATTTTTTATTCGTTTCTATGGTAATAAACAAAGCGCTAGAGATTAAAATCCAATTTTTAACTGTTTTTCGTAAATTTTCGGTGGTTTTTACCGTGGCATTAAATAACTATTGATAAAATCGAAAAATGACCTCTTTAAAGTACCATTTTGATCCAATTTTCTAAAATATAAGATGATATATGTTGAAATCGAAGAACTCCTTCTAGTAGAAATTTTGTATACAGGATATAAAAATAAACACCATTGTAAAACCACTACCTTCCTCGCATTTATGCGACATTATTAAATTATTATAAATTATTTTAATTCTAGATTGTGAAGACCAGTCATTTAAATTTAATACCTCATGCATTAATTGAAATTATAACTTTCTTAAATGGCTTGATATTTTGGCTGTACTATTTTATTTTATATTTATTATAATATTGTCTAAATACTAATTTAAAGTCTTAAATAACTCTAAATTTTTATTTTATTAAATATGTATCAAACACATTATAATTATTTTCCTGTTAATTTTTAAATATATTTTTCTTTATATATCTAAATACTTAAGTATTAAGTATAAAATCGAAGTTAGTTCATCAACGATTACTGAATAATATTAACATACGTTTAATGTATTGTGATCGTGTTCTGCAGCTATTGAAATTTATTATAGATTCTGGTTCTATAAAATATACAATATACATTATATGGTCGTACCTATCTAAAATTATAGGTGACAAATTATATTTTACATGAGAAAAGAAACACATTCCCATAGTATTGTGTACATGCTACGATTTGAATATTTTAAATATTAAGAATGCCGAGATGTTTGCTTTAGACTTACAAATAGAAATGTATAACCGCAATGGTTGTGAAATATGCAGTGTATATTAAAATGTTCTTAAAGTGGTTTTCTTTTTCTTTTTTTTTCAAATAAGTGGTCAGTGTTTGTAGTGATTGTTCTTATTAAAGTTTATTTTTGTTTTGTTTTGTTTTAATTAACAGGTAAATTAAGATTCCAAACGATTTTTTTTTATCATGGACCATTGGCCAAAAGATGTCGGAATACGCGCTATTCATTTTGTCATACCGTCGTTGTACGTCGATCAAACCGATTTGGAACAATACGACCAAGTGTCCGAAGGAAAATACACCGTTGGTTTGGGCCAAAAGCAAATGGGTTTTTGCACAGACCTCGAAGACGTAAACTCACTGTGCCTGACGGCAGTCAGTCAGCTTATAGAAAACAACGGTATTAACTATTCGGACATAGGTCGCCTGGAGGTGGGCACCGAGACCATAATCGATAAGTCTAAAAGCGTGAAAACAGTTTTGATGAAACTGTTTGAGCCCAGTGGCAATTTCCAGGTCGAGGGTATCGACACGACGAACGCCTGTTACGGTGGGACGGCGGCCTTGTTCAACGCGCTATCGTGGATGGAGTCGAGCGCATGGGACGGTAGGCTGGCCGTGGTCGTTGCGGCTGACATCGCTATCTATGCCAAAGGCAATGCGCGGCCGACGGGGGGCGCTGGTGCAGTCGCGATGTTGATAGGACCGAACGCTTCTTTGGTGATCGAGAGGGGCCTCCGAGGCACGTACATGAACCACGCGTACGATTTCTTCAAGCCCGACCTAACGTCCGAGTACCCAGTGGTGGACGGTAAACTGTCCATCGAGTGTTACCTGAACGCCCTGGACCAGTGCTACAAGTCCTATCTGAACAAGTGCGGTGGCGGCGGCACCAACGTCGACCTGAACGGGTTCGATTCGTTCGTGTTCCACACGCCGTACTGTAAACTGGTGCAGAAATCCCTTGCCCGGCTGTACCTGAATGATTTCGTGAACAGCGACACGAAGGATGAGGACTATCCGGGCCTGGGACAATACAAGGACGTGCACTTGCCTTCCACGTTTTTCGACCGGGACATTGAAAAGACGTTTATGGAGCGCAGCAAGACCATTTACGAGGACAAGACCAAGCCGTCGCTGTTGCTGGCGTCACGCGTGGGCAACATGTACACGGCATCTGTGTACAGTGGGCTGGTCTCGTATCTGGTGTCGTTGCCTCCAGAACACCTACCCGGTAAGAAGATTGGCGTGTTCTCTTACGGTTCCGGTTTGGCGTCGTCTATGTACTCGATCAGGGTTGTCGACAATGGTTTGCTGAGTCTGATCGCCAATCTGAAGAAGGGCATCGACCGCCTGGAGGAACGGATACGCCTCACTCCCGAACAGTTCACTGAAGTGTTGGAAGTCCGGCAAAAGTCTTTGCACCAAGCACCCTACACACCTGTCAGCAACAAGGACCAACTGTTCCCTGGCACGTGGTACTTGTCCTGTATCGACGAAATGCACAGACGATTTTACGAGAGAAAAGAATAGGGTGTGACCGTTACGTCGTCGTACAAACGTCTGTCTAAATATCTATATAATATAATACGTATTTATATTCCCTCGGTTAAAATGTATTATTTATCGGTGGCCGATAATCGTCAGTCCCTGTACATCAAGCGAATAATGATTAGTGTTGGTACTTTTTAAAATGCATTGTTAATTTTAATTAAAAATCTTTGTACTTGTTTAGATATCGTATTGGTTTATATTTTTTTTATACATAATATGCGTGTATATATTATATATTATAGAGAACTTATGTATTTATTTTGCATTAATATGGTATTTCTCATTAATATTATACTCTTGGTGGGTGGGTTTTATTGACAATAATTTTAATAGTATTAAGTCGTTATTGAAGTGGTGCTTCATATTGTTAATTTTTTTTTTAAATTATAGACATGACATTATGACAACTTCAATATTTTTGTTTTAATATTTTAAATCATACCTTATTTAAAATATTATTCACCAATTCACCGGTTTAAAAATTAAATGAATTTATATATATTTTCATCAAAATATTAAATAAATATATTTTAGCGGGCAACAATTTTGATTTTAAAGTTGTATTAATCACGGTATTTTCCATGAAAAAATAAATAAATTTGATTGTTAAATGAACGCGTTCAGTTATGAAAATACATACCAAAAAATAAACGTTATGCCATAGGTACCTAATGAATAATGATAAATTATAATACAGGCATTCAGCATGTTCAAATAATAGGCAAAACTTGGTTTGCTAAAAAGTTTTGTTGAATAAACTATTAAACTAAAATTTAAAACTCTTAAGTGTAGTATATGTATGGTTTTATAATAAATGTTTTGATTTACTGCATATATGCCATTAATTGAGAAATATAATTCTTTTCGATGTTTAATAGATGTAAAACTATACAAATAATGGGACGACTACTAAATCTGTAAACACTTAAACTACTTATTGGTCATAATTCAAAAGTAAGTAGACTTATAAACTATAATTTTAATTGTGAACCAAATATTTTAAGTTCTTTAATTGAAAGTATTGCTGGCCAATGTATTATTACAACAGTGCACGAACCTATAGTTGATCTTTTTATCGGTAACACTAGGTACAAAAAAGTATTCCATAATATTTTGTAGCAATACGTACACCAAACTTCAAAGTATTATACTTTGGCTTATGGGCATTTTAATATTGCTTTAAAAACGAATTGTTTTAGGATTTTTGTTAATATAATGATTCCAAAAAAACTTAATGTTATCCACATGCCCTACGAAATATGATCATATTTGGTAAATAGTAGCATAAAGGTACCTATTATATGATGTACCTATTATATACATATATATATATATAATTTGATTGGAATTTATAGTTTAGAAAGTGTATGATCTATTGGTAAAATGTATGTAAATATATTATACAGAATTAAATTAAACCGCTATTGTCTTGTGAAATAATAATTTCAATAAATTGTATTGTTGAGTTTCAGAAAAAATAGTAGTTATGTCACTATACTTAGTTATTTTAATTTATGCGATCGTGAATGGAATCCATTTGTTTTTAAATTCCGTTCGCATTGTCGTGTAGAACGACTAATACATAACTCTTATTAGTTCAGTGATTGAGTGGTAGTTGGACAAATAACTGTAATACTGGGATAATAATTTCCTCAGTTATAAAAAGGTGCTCTGCTGTACAGTAGGTTACAAGTGGGTCACTCGTCACTGTATAATGGATGGTATTAAATTTAAATTCAATGATGTAATATCATTGTATAAGAAAAACGATTCTGAGCGGAGGCGGTATGTCATTCTAGGTATAAGACATATTATATACATAGGTATCTATGGTATTAAAAAAAAAATTGACGTATCATAGGGGGAGCATACTACTTGCGTCCGAAATTATTATCAGTAGGTGAGTTGCGTCCCGCAAAAAAAAGGTTCAAAAAGGTCATAGCCGATTTGCGTCCCAGTACACCTTTTTTTATGACTTAATTGCGTCCCAAGAATATCAATATAATCGATATAAAAATGTAAAAAAAAAAACTATATTTAAAAAAATATTTAAAAAAAAATGTGGGCAAGTGGGTGTCGCTCTGCTGTACAGTAGGTTACAAGTGGGTCACTGTATAATGGATGGTATTAAATTTGAATTCAATGATATAATATCATTGTATAAGAAAAACGATTCTGAGCGGTGATGGTATGTCAGTCTATGTATAAGGCATATTATATACATATCTATGGTATTAAACAAAAAATTGACCTATAATAGGTACCTATAATAAATTCCAAATTAATCATATCACAATATCCATTAGATACTTATAACGCGTTATACATCAACAAAAACCGTGATACTATCATAGATATATAATAGTACACTTTAGAAGTTTCAAGTACCCACGAATAGTATTATTCAATCACAACAAAATAACTAAAATCGTAATTCTTGGTTTAAATATGAAATTTTGTCTAAATTTGAAATTAAAATGTCTGTAAAAAATAAGTGTGTTTATATATTTTTTAGATTTTTTGGTTACAGTATGAATTATTTAAGAGAATCTTTGTTTTAAATTTTCAACTCTTAGTTATAAAAACTGAACATTTTATAATTTTTTAATTCCAACGATTGATAATTTTCGAGATTTTGATAAATTTTGTCAAAATTCCAACTTTAAATGCTTATAAAAAAAAATCGTGCCTATGTATTTTTAATATTTTTCAACTGCTATTGTAACAATATATCAGGAGCCTTGTATTAAATTTTTACACTTTTTGGCCCAACAGATAAAACTTTATTGATATTTATAGAAAAAAAAACTAAAAAAAATTGAAAGCTGTAAATGTCCATAAACAGCTCAAAATGAGTCAAAATATTTTCAAAATTGTATGGTGTATAGGAAATGCTAATATAAACATTCAGTGAAATTTTCATGTATCTACAGTTATTCGTTTTTGAATTACAACAAAATAAGGAAATCGCTACATGAGAAATCGAGTGAAAATCCAATGTTGTAAAAATTTGAATTTCAAACGCTCATAAAAATTTAATTTGACTGTCCGGTAGAGATTTTTTTATTGATAAAGGTAGATAATCTTATAAGGAATCTTGTGTTTCATTTTCAAATCTTAGATTTAAAAAGAAAAATTTTTACGAATTCTTAACTCAAAATAATTTGCTAATTTTCGTGATTTTTCCATATTTTGTCAATTTTTGAACTTTAAATGCTTATAAAAAAAAATTGTGACTAAGGATTTTTAATATTTTTCATCTGCCTTTGAAACAACATATTAGGAGCCTTCTATTAAATTTTCAAGCTTTCGCAACCAACAAATAAAATTTTATTGATATTTCTAGAAAAAAAACTAAAAAAAAATGAAAAATGAAAATGTCCCTAAACAGTTCAAAATAAATCAAAATATTTTGAAAATTTTATCGTGTATAGAAAATGCAAATATAAACAACCAGTGAAAATTTCATTTATCTACCGTCATTTGTTTTAAAGTTACACCAATAACCAAATTCGATTTTTTGGAAAATCGATTTTGCGTAAAAATTCCCGTTTTTCCTTAATTTTTATGTTGTTTTTTCCCGGCGCTTGTGAAAACTACTGGAAAATGTTTACTTTTGACCCCCCAAAGTACCAACTAGATTCACTTTCCTATCAGAAAAGGTACTATTGAAGAAAATCGAAGCACTTTTACTGTCCCAAAACGTGATGACAGACACAAAAATATAAAAATATAAAAATATAAAAAAAAACATACATCATTGTAAAACCAATACATTCATCGCTCCGCTCAGAATCTAAAAATTGACCTATAATAGCCCATAGGTACCTATAATAAATTCCAAATTAATCATATCACAATATCCATTGGGTATACTTATAACGTTTTATACATCAACAACAAACCGCGATACTATCATAGATATATAGTAGTATACTTTAGAAGTTTCAAGTACCCACGGGCCACGAATAATATTATACAATCACAACAAAATAACTAAAATAGTTATTCTAGGTTTTTTTTATGTAATTTCGTCAAAATTTGTACTTAAAATGACTATAAAAAAAAACTAAGAAAAATGATTCTGAGCGGAGACGTTTTGTACAAACAGCACGAGCACGGGGTCAAACATACATAAGCAGTTGGTATATAATATAAATATATTATAATTACAATACGCACCTTTACTATTTTCTATTGGTATACTTAATTTATTTTAGTATTCAAATAAATGAACTACGAATATATAAATCCTTAATCCTTATACAAGATTGTTTTATTAGTTGTAGTACGTTAGTAGGTAGTAAACTGCTTAAAAAAGGATAATATGACATAAAAAAAAAATCATGAAATATAATATGAGAAATGCTAAAATATATATTATGATAAACAAATATATAACTTATTTATGAGGTAAACTCTGCAAGTATAGGTACGTTTGATAAACCTAAATTTTAATTCTTGATTATTCATAATTAATTCTACAAAGTTCAAAAATGTAATTTAGAACCAAATATTAATTTTTATAAAAAATACAACATTTCGAGGGTGGCTTTCGAAAACATCCATATCAAATGAAAATATATATAAAGTATAAACTGAAACGATTTAAAACGTAGTCAGGTAGTCTGCCAGATATAAGTATGCAATATATTAGTGCGTGTTACAAGTTGAATAAATTAACAAACAGCAATTAAATATTTGTTTACAGTTGGTAGCGTCTTATCCGTTCATTTCCAAGACGTTGAGGGACGCTGGTCGCACGTCTATCCCGAGCACGAGTCACTGTTGCACAGCTCAACTTCAAAAAAACGGCACCGGTTACGACGACCTCAACGATTTACTGGCAGATCCGGCGGATTTGGAATTCACTATAGGTTTTTAAAAATTATTGATACAATAATACCTAACGGCTAACACAGTAACACACCAACACCTGTTACCTGCTGGTGTTTGGTACAATGGTACCTATTTTTAAGGCCTTGGTTGTTCTATTATTCTTAGTATTTTTTTATATTGCCCTAAGTAGTAGGTTGAATGTTGATATTAATAACTTTCATAAAGGGGGTAGTAGCAAGGTAGATAAGTATTGTATAGGATATTTGGATATTTATGTTGTTATACCATTAAAAGGAATACACAGGAAAAAAGCCGCGGGAAACAAAACCTTATTCTGACTATTACGAACATTAAAAAACCAATATTAGTAAATTCGGTCTAGCCGTTTTCAAGTGATACGATTACCAACGAACAGCATTTCATCTTTACTTATATAGAAGATTCTACAGTAATTGAGCGGTGTAGGTACCTATAATTTTATACATATCAGATTTTTTTTTTGGAACCCTGGAGTTTTAATAAATAAAAATACTGTGTTAAATAGAGTGTTGCAAATATGGTACGAATATAAGTATTCTGTAATATATATAATATAACCTAAGGCAGTTTACCTTTGCAAGCACACTGAAGTCTGAAACCTTAACTTTTAAAATATTATGAGCTTTTGAAATATGAGTAGGTATATTTAACTAATTTATATTTCAAAATATTTGTCTTGTTATACATATAATCGTCAGTTAGTAAAATCTAAGAAGTACATTTATTTGATTCCAAGATATGTTCTTTATTTACAGAATATTTTATTGTTTTAATTTAATTTGTGAAGTTTGTTGGCCTTTTGCTGAGAAAATTCCCTTAGAGCCTATCTCAGGCTAAAATATATAGGGTATAGAGTTATGTAAAATACTTTCAGTTTCTTTCATTTACTTCCAGTCTCATCCAGTGTTTCAGTATTTTAGTGTTATGGATTTGGAGTATATTTTACAATTTTAAATTAGTAATTACTAACACCAATAAAAATAATTTTAAATTGTGTTACGAAGGATACATGTGTGTAATGAAGCATACCTATTAAATCACAATACATTTAATCACAATTTGGAGCTACTGCAAAACTAGTACCTCTTACAAAGAAGTACACGGATATTTGCAACAAAGTTAAAATAATGAAAATTGGCAAAGCTCATCTTATGAAACATAAATATTTGTCTTATTTAACCGCTTTTTTCATATTAATATTTGAATTAAAAATAATGTAATTTAATTATTTTCGAAATCTGACGTATATTTGTCTCCTGCATTCTTAGTATCTACAACTGTTTTAATGGCAATTTGGGTTAAATTGAGTCCTGACTTATTTATATACTTAAATACTTAATACACTATACGTCTATACTGGGTACATGGTACTTACTGAGTATTTTTATTTTTCCCCTTTTTTGAACCGCCACACGAATAACAACTTCCTGAACATACCTAGGTACTAATGAGCAGTGACGTTTGATTGTATGTTCAAATAGATTTGCTGAAGATCGAGGTTCCGGGTTCATTCGAAAAGGAGACTTGGCTATTGGACGAAAATGAAAAACGAAATACGATTCCTGAACTCAAAGAAGCCGGTAACGAGTTATACCACAAAGGTAAATACAAAGAAGCTGAAGAAAAATACATGTTGGCTCTCGGATTCTTGGAACAAATCATGATGAAGTAATTACCCGTAAACCCGTAATTACCTACCTATATAAGCTATAATATAGTAATTGTTATCAATACTATTTTTCCAGAAATCGCCTGTAAATTGTTTACCATTTATAATTTATATATTATGTACATATCTAAAAATACAAAATACTAATTTACATTATTGTTATCTTTATCCCGAAGACTCAAACCCCGTGAAAAGGAATGGGACGAATTGAACAAAATAAAAACTCCACTGTTACTGAATTTGGCTCAATGTAAGCTTATTTCCAAGGACTATTACCAGGTCATAGAACACTGTACATCAATTTTGGACGACGACCCTGGTACATAAGTTTTAATATTTAATGTATTATATAATTACTGTATTAACTATCAATTCGGAATTTCTAAACATGTTAATATTATAATGGTTGTTTATTGTCTTTCAGATAACGTCAAAGCATTATTCAGACGTGGAAAAGCAAATATATCAGTGTGGAAAATGAACGAAGCCAGAGAAGATTTAAAACACCTTTCGACTCTGGATCCAAGTATGCAGGTTTCGGTCAACCGATTGCTCTGTCAAATTAACGAAGCATTGAAGATAAAAGACGACGAAGATAGACAAAAATTAAGGGGAAAACTATTCTGAAAATTGATTTTTTTTTAATATTAAATTATTATATTAATGTTATAAATATATATTATTTCAGACTGCATTTTACTAGACACATGACACTTTGATTATTATTCGTGTTATAGGTGATAATAAACGCATAATATTAAGAATGTATAAACCCTACATTTTTCCAACTGTAACTATTGTAGGTTAATAGTTTAAAAAGATGTTGTATATATTATTATACAATGACCTTTTAAAGTTATTTGAAATATCAGTAACTTCAATGTTTCTTTTTATAATTTACAAATATTAAATACTAAACAATCGATACATTGTTTAGAACAATGTCAGTTTGACATTTGTTGTCTCAATGTCTCATAGATTAGTTGTAGCAAAACTTCTTTTTCAATTTTCGAATTTTTTAGCCAAACTGTTAAAATGTAGTAATGCATAACCTTTTAAAAAATGTATGAAGAAATTGTTAATTTAGTGGTGCCGTAATAGGGTTTTTATATTTTATTTTTCAAATATACTTGTAATCAAATAAAGTTAATTATAGTTTATTTAAATCGTAACAGAATTAATCCCCTATGTAGAGCAACTGCATTTACATTAACCTACTAAATGGTTTAATAAGTCATGATGCTTACCTACTTTGAGAAGTTTGGCTTCAAAATGAGAAACGTGAAGAACAGTTTTGCTGTAGTTTCTGATATCTATGATACACGTCGTAAAAACTAGGTACAGAAAGAGAGATAATATCTTGAGGGTTATAACTGACGTTTTCTTACATAATCTTATATTATATCCATGTAGGAAATATAATCATTTAATTTAGTTATGAATAGGTTATTTTATATTTTCTTATAGAGTGTATTTTCTTATATTACATTATATACATTTAAGATTTTATTTTATAACATTAATATTAAAATAAAACACTAACATATGTATGTTTTACATTTAAAATACCCGGAAGAGCCGGCTATGTAGACCCGAGTGGGCCCAAAATACGATCTTGCAGACTGAATAGTGGTGTATCATAGGTAAATTTTTATTTCCAATTCGTTTGATATATTACTAGGGAAGCTTTTATAAGAGTGATATATTTGATATTAACTCTAACTGTGAAACGGTGAAACACTACTTAAATTTGTCAATTCCGATTGTTAACAATATAATATAGTTTAATTATTTCTACACAATTTATATTAATGATTTTGACATAAACAGAAAAGTGATAATCAAACCATTATTATGAATTATGATATATATATAAGTACTTATCTATCAATACTTATCATTAATTTAAGTTTAGAGCGGTAAATATTACCAAACCCCATCACAATAAAATGTTATATTCATTAATTGTTACAAAAGTGTACCTATTTATTATAAATATAAAATCTGTTTTTATGTAGACATAAAATTATGACATTATACGCAGTTATATATTATTTTAAATATTTTGTACGATTTTCTTGTTTAATCTTATACGTATTCTAAAATATTGTTTAATTACTCGGATTTGTAATGGTATATATAAATAAATATATAGAAGTTTATTTTGTTACAAGAAAATTTGTATTTTATTTGTCTGTTGTCGTCCTAGGTAGGGATTCCAGGGCGGTAAGGCCTCTTTGCTATTCGAATCGTAAAAGGTAAAACAACTATCTACCTATTGATTTATGCATATTTTAGTATGCGGATTAGCTCATCATCGAGGGACGGGAATCTTTCCTGGTGGGCCGATCGTCGTGTTATAATTACTCTGGGCAGGTTTAGTTGGATTAAATAATATTTTATTAGTGACTTAGTTTTTTATTAATAGTGAATTGAGTGCCCGCGTTGTTTGTTGTCGTATTATAATTTTGGCTGCACTAATAAGCAATATTATTGATTATAAATAGTAAATACTATATAGTACACATCAGTTAATATATTTTATTTTTATACAATTTGTTTTAATATTTTTTTATTTAATTAATACATGCGTGATATTTTGGTTGCACTTAATAAAACAAGCTGATCATTTTAGATTCTGAGAGGAGCGAATGTATATTGATTTTACATTTATGTAATTATATGTAAATGTATTTTTTTGTGATGTCTGTCGTCGCATTTTGTAGCAATAAAAATGCTTCGATTTTCTACTTCGGCATCTTTTCTGTTAGGGAAGTGAATCATGATACTTTTTGAGTTGTCAAAAGTAAAAATTTATTGTAGTATTCAAAATCATCGGGAAAAACAAAAAAAAAAGCGGTCAAGTGGATAACGTTCTGTTTTGCATTTTTATGTCTAGATAAGTTAGAGTTACTATAATGGATGTGTTAAATTGGGCGAGGCACGTTTGGGCCAGGGACGTTTAGGTCACCAATAAAAATGCAACCCGTTTGGACCAGGATTTTGTGAACCCGTTTGGGCCAATTTTTTTAGTACATTTTAAATAAAGTACTTCTAGTTTCTAAATATTTACTAGAAAGCCCGCTTAGGCCGTACGCGAGCGCTTTTAGTTTACATTGGTTAAGCTTAAGTATCGGAGAGCAAAACGCGCCATCGTCGGAGTAATAAGATGTTCAGTTTAACTGTGTAAACTAATTTGTAATTTGTAGATTATGTACAAAACAAAATTATTTATAATTGATAACTGACCAAAAACCCACAGTTATATTATACATCATACGTATAATACAATAATAGATAAATGTTTCAAGCAGCTCAAATTTAAATAGTTCATTAAAAAACACAACATACTACATGCACGATGGGCACAAATGCACAATATAAAAATGGTGAGATATCTCAATTGACGTATTTAAAGATTATTGGACAAAAGTTTCAAGCAGCTCGAATTTAAATAGTTCATTAAAAAATATATTTTCGTAATTCAGTCGACTCGTATTTAAAAAATTAATAATTTGTACCTAATGTACCTATTTATTTTTTTAATATTATACACAATTAAATAATAATAATAATAATAATAATAATAATAATAATAATAATAAGAAACAACATTTTTAACCGTGCTAAAGACAGTCCTAAGCCTGTTAAAAATAAAATGGGAAGGAAAATGCTGATCCAAACGAGTTGTATAAAAGTAATATTTTTTAGTCCAAACGGGTCTTCAAAATTGGTCCAAACGAGTGGTGTTTTAGAAAAATTGGTCCAAACGGGTCCTGCCCGTTAAATTCGAATTCAATGATATATATTTTTTTGTTTACCTACGTCCGTTATCCCCACGTCCAAATGGCTACATCCATTTGTCCCTATTTCTATAGTAGGGTTGTGGCGTTGCCACTGGCCATAAGACATTTACATATTATACTACATTACTGCCTAACCTGAATATAATACTAGTCGGTCTAGTCATTAATAAACCTTATGTTTCAATGTATCGCTTGTCCAAAAATGTTAATCTATATACTCGAATTCGATATACTTCATATACTTGTAAGATACAAGATACACAACAGGCACGGATCCAGTGCAAAGATCTGGGGGGGACAATTTTTTTACAACAAAAATACAATCAATGTGATAAATAAATTATTGATTGTTTAATATATAAAGCGACAATGTGATAAGAAGTTTAGATTTTGTTTATTTGTTATTTAATATATAATATTTATATTTATAAAAAAATATGCCTAAACGGGGGTCTTGGGCCCCTAAGCCCCCCCTGGATCCGTCCCTGATACACGATATGGTACAATAATTGTATCAAAGATACGGCCCAACCCTATATTTACACCGTTATCGACTGTACATTACACCGGTTACCTACTTGCCCACTTTTTATTATTTAAGTTAATATTATGCCCATAAAAACCGACAACCGTAGAAATGTAGAATTAAGATGAGTTTTTAATTTATATTAATAGATAGGTGAATGGTATTGGTCAAAAAAGTACACAGATAATATATAGTTAGATATAGCTTATAGGTAGACCGTAGAAAATACTATATTTAGTAATAAAATATAATATTCGGTTGTCTTGACGACACATGTCCACATTTATCATTGCTTGTACGAATAAATGCGTTAAAAAATTTAATTTGTGTTATAATGGATAGGTTACTAGGGAAATAGAATTGTCGAAAATATCGACCAAACCTCTTAGAACTGAAGTATAATCTTAAAAAATTACCTAGTTTTATTATAATAAAACAATCATTTAAGTTATACAGTAGGTGAATAATGGATATTATATCACAAAATGAAGTTGATTTTTTCATTGATCATATTAAGGAATCAAAACTTAATGAGCTTGGATCAAAAATGTAATTCAATAATTTTTAAATATTATAAATCTATATAGGTAATAGGTATATAAAAATATGTAGGTACATAAAAAAAGCGTATGTTGTAGATGGTACGATAGTCATGATCGTTTGCAAAAACTTAACCAACAAGCTACATTGGATGCTACTGAAGGCCGAGAAGAATATATTAAGGATCAGCTCATCAGTTACGGAAAAGTAGTTAAACTATTACCTCAACATTGGGCTCCGATGAAATTTTTATCTTGTAATAAATTTGTACTTTTAAGGTTCCTATTATTGTGCATGAAGCAATTTGTGTAGCAATTTGGAGAGAAAAAGTACTTCCAGAAGTACTGTGTATTATACCAAATCCTACACAATCATTCACATTATATTTTATCGTAAGTTTTTATTATATTATGATTGTTAAATATTTGCAGGTATAGTATATAAAATATGTACCATTGTAATTTGTAACTGCTTAACTGGATCCTTCCAATATTTTTTTTTTAAATATAATATAGGTATTTACTAAAATATAAAGTTTAAGATAGCAAAACAATGGTTACTCTTTCCAATCAGCATTTAGTTAAAAATCAATACTTCAGTAGGTATACTGTATACAATTATTATCGGTACATAAATTATTATAGAACCTATAGGCTATACTATTATACTCAGGGTTGTGACTGTTGTGAGATTGATGTCTTATTTTACACATTGATTATCAACGAACTTCATTAGAAATGCAAAATACAATATGAGATACAAATCTGAGTCAAGAAATACTATTTTAAATACGAAATTGTATCAGTATTTTCTATATTTTAGATGAAAGTGAGCAGTATTTTAGTATTTAACTGTTTTAAAAAAATATTTTTATTGTATATTTGGAGAAAATATTATGGATTTTTCGTTTTACACCAATATATTTCAATATAATATAGAAAGTTTATTTTGCTTACTTATAAAATATACATAGGTAATATAGTAAATATAATATCGTTTTGTATAAAGTTTATTTTAGTTTTCATAATTTCATTTGTTTATATAATTTTTTAATACCTACTTTCACAAGTATTGTAACTTTCAAGTCAATTTATTAAGTTAATTTTGCATAATTTCAAAATTATGGAATTTTTAGTAGTTATTTGTCTATTTTTGAGTGCCGCACACCTATAATATTTTGTATATATATTAGTATGGCATAGGCCGTAGGTGATAGGTATCTGGTGTTATACAGATTATAAAAGTTTACTTATATTTACTAGAATGGAAAAATAGTAAAAATAATTCAGTGTGCTATCTTAGAATAGCGATACAAGATAGGTGCATACAAAAATATAATAATAGGTATACTATTTTTGCCATTGGATTTTAAACTTTCCCTGTGTGGAATTTTATTTTTCAGGCGCTCATCATGAATTCATACATAGGTATTCATTTCTGGTGAAAAAATAATATTGAAAGATTTAATTGTGTCTTGTAGGGTCTAGTTTAAATTATATAAATTTGTTTTAAATTTTAAATTGTATTTAAATGATACTATTTAGTTTTTGGATAGTTATTAGAAATTACTGTTTTAGTTATTTCATGAAACTGTGGCGGTTGGATTGTTACAAAAGATACTATTTCACGAGGAAGGTGTTCAGTCACTAGGAAATTATGCTTTGGATCTGTTTGACCATATTATATTTTCAATCACCCATATAGCTATTGGGTACTGTAGATTAAAATACTTAAAATATTTAATATATTATGTATACAATTATTTATTTTTTTTATAATGGTTTTAGAAACACTAATAATTTCCAAATCTACTCGAAAATATCTGATACACCATTAGTGGATGAAATAATTGAACATAAACATAAAATACAATTTGAAGTGGGAATTTGTTGTATCGGCATAATGTTTAACATGTTACTACACATAAAAAAGTAAATTAAAAATATATTTATCTATAAAGCTAAATTAAAATAGTTTTAAATACAATGTGCGACCAATACAATTATATTTTAGAAAATGTATCTACCTAATTTATTTATATATATATATATGTATGTGTATCATAGCCTATCGTTATCTGTTACTTCAAGAATGACAACTAATAATGATGTACCAATGTTAATATGTCAGTTATTAAATGTAAAACCTTGGATAAAGTTGGAAAACGATAAAAAATATATTTTTCAAGGTAGCTACTCGAATCAACCAAATTATTAAAAATAAGTATAATTAGTAATCATTTGGAGTGAATTTTGAACAGATAATTCATGGAAAATAATGGATGAAAAAGAGAATATTATACCGAAACAAGAAGCTCATTTATGGTTAAGTCTACACGAATTTTTCACATCGGAACAACTACGTAACAGTTATGAAATCACTCAATTTCGGAAAAAAAATCTTATGCAGGTAAATTTAATAAGAAATCTAGATTGTTTATTTATCTTTTAATATGTTTGACAAAAGATACAAAAAAAGCATTTATATACTATACATATTAAAATATTTTAATTATACTATACATATTAAAATATTTTAATTTATAACCAATATATATCAGTGGCGCAACAAAGGGGGGAGGGTCCCCGGGTCCAGACCACCTCTTTGGAATAACTATATAATATAATTTTTTTATTTATTTAATTTAGAAAAATAGAATTGTACACAAGCTATTATTAGCAACAAAAATACAAAATTATTTTCGTACATTAAGTAAATCGGTATATTTTATAGAAAATGGTGGACATATTATATATATATGGTGGGCGGTGCCAGAACAGCATAGGAAAAAAATAAAAAAAAACATTTATTGACATCATCAGCTGCATTGTACATATAGCTGCATTTAATTTGTATTATATTATATTTAGTTGGGTTTAGGGTAATTTATATATTAAAAATATAAATAATAATTAATTAATTAAGTAGGTATCAAATTAAAATTTAATTTGTGTACCAGATACTATACTGGCTTCTATTTTCTAATATAACAGTACTACCTAGTAGGTATACCTATATGTGTGTACAAATGATTTATTATTTTGTTTTATGTTTTTTTAAGTGTCTCATATTTTTATTTTATTTCTCTGGTCACTATAGCTGCTCTAAATATTTATTTTGACGTCAGTAGATATAACATCTGAATTATAAATACGTTACCTAGCTAATTCAAAACGTCGTTTAGATTTTATATTATGAATTATTTTACTTTTTTTTGTAATTACAAAAATAGTAATATAAGTATAATATGTATTTTCTCAAATTTTAAAATTTTATTTAACATTGATTTATATTTTCATGAAAAATGGAATGCATGTATATTGTATATAGGTTATAGGCAACTATCCGATGTTTTCTTAGTCCGTGGTTAAAATGTCTATAATATGTTCTAACATGTATGGACCCTCCCATTGAAAAAGTTCTGGTTGCGCTACTGCAATATATATATAAGTAATATATACCTAATAGTGTATTGCAGATTTATTTTAAATGTAAACCATTTTTGCATGGTCAAAAACTTGAAAATTTAATACAATAGGTTTCTCATAAGTTGTTAGTAGATATTAAAAAAAAAGTTGTGAGTGAATTTTTTACGAGCGTCTGAAGTTATAATTATTTTTTTTTTATCAAATAATTTTGAGTTAGAAATTGATAAAAATTGTTCTATGTATATTTAGGATTTGAAAATTGAATACAAGATTCATCATAAGTTTCCCTATCTTTACCAAAAAAAAGTTTACAAAAAAGTCAAATAATTTTTTTTTGAGAGTTTGAAGAATTTTTTCGACATTGGATATTTACTCATAAACTAATGATTTCTTGTGAAACGATCTTCTTATTTTTTCTTAATTAAAAAAAAAATACAGAAGATACTTGAAATGTTAACCAGTATGTTTATAATATTATTTTCTATACCTACATGATATATAGATCATTTTCAAAAAATGGTTACTACCTACAGTTTGCCCAGCGAGAGACTCTAGGTCCTAGGAGACTACAGGAGTTCCTTCGCTGGACAGAGTTGAGGGTATAGTTTATTTCTATAAATATCAATAAAATTTGTTAAAATTCATCAAAATCGTGGACATTTATAATATACATTGTAAGTTATACCTAGTTAAGTGGATAACAATGTATAAAATGTGTAATCTTTATAGCCAAGGATTGAAAATGTTAAATAATGTTTCCCATAAATGTTTTTTAGTGTAACCAAAAAATTTAAAAATATAGACACAGTATCATAGATGATTGTTATAAATAAATTGGGGGGGGATGTTTAAACCTCCCCCTATAGCCCCATGTATATAGGTGCAAACGTGCCTGATCATCCGCATCAAGCCCAGATTAAGGATCAATTGGGCCCCGGGACACCATACATTTAGTGGGCCCCCTTTCAACTTTAACTTCAAAATATTTGTATCATTACATATTAACGAATTTATATTATTGTATAATTTTTTACTATACAAAAAATATACAGGGTGTTTCTTATGTCATTGTACGCGGTTTTTTTTTACAATATTATAGATTGATGATATGGATTTTGCTAAAACAAAAAGTTTCTTTATCTATAAAGTGTTTCTTTATATTTTTAAACACGCAGTTGTACACTTATACCAATAATAAAATCTTTTTTTTTAAGACTTTATTTTTTCAAATGTTAACCACTTATTTTTTTTATGGATTCTGGTAAAGCTTTTTTTCAACATTTTGGCAGTCAAATGATCGATTTTGGTTCGATAGATTATTAATTATGGTCCTCTAAAGTTTAGTATATAGGTAATATCAATATGCATTAATACTTTTAACTGAAATACCTAATTTACAAGGGCTAAATAATTTTTCTTATAATTACCTTTTTGTATAGGTACTGAAATAACTATTTAAGTACCTATACTACCTATACAAAAGGTTAAATCGGTATCTAAAATGCTCAAAAAAAAAAAAAAAAAAGCAAACAAAATTGTTGGCAAACATAGTTCATTATTTATAGTAATTTTTCGTGATATAAAATTGAGAACAATTTTATTTTATAATTATTAATAATAATTTACCTACTATACCTACCAGCTATCTACTTATAAAATAATTTTTTTTTAAACTATTGGACGCGTTAAAAAAGTATATTTTGGGGATAAAAATGGGCCCCGGCCCCCTTGCCCCCCTTAATCCACGCTTGATCCACATTAATTAAATAATGCAATTTGATAATTAAGGATTATAATGTTATTTTGCCTACCTACTTATCTAATAATTTTTTGTTTGATATTTTATTAGTTACAACACTTACTCAATGATTGCCTTCTGGATCAAATTCCCCCATTGATACATTTAAAACAATGTTTGTATCAGTTGAGTTTAACAGAAGTTTCAACAGTACATAAACGACCTCTTATTATAGAATTAAATGCAGAAGTAAGATATTATAAATAGCAGGGCTTGTAAGTTCATGCTATAAAAAACGTTTGCATAAAATAAAATAAAATTGGCTTAGATCATTGATTTTATAATATAAATATATATTTATATATTATAAAATCAATGCTTAGATTCACCTAGAGGAGTGCTCAGGACTTTTGGAGGGGGTTGGTTGGACATTTTTTTCAAATAAAATATTTGGTAAATGTAGTGTTATAAATGTAGTTTAGTGCCCAAGCGAATTTTTAAATTTTTTTTCGCACACCTGTATATTATTACTACCAGTTAAAATTACAACGATGGTGCAAATACGAAGTTCACGATTTTCGGTGTTTTGTGCTAACAAGTTTTCTATTTTTTTTTTGAAACCTAAATAAATAAGCGTTTTAAAAATTATGTTGCAAAAATAATTCCAACACTCACCTATAGTGGTTTTACATAATAAGTCTAGGGATGTTTTCGATTTTAATTGTCCAAGTGAGCGAGTGGCCACGCCAGGTACCTGTTTGTTTGTAGGTACCTAATGACTAATGGCTACCAAAAGATGGTTATTTTTGTTATTTTTTTTTCATAAAAACTATTAACCATAACTTTAAAAATGTTCTTTATATAAAAAATTTGTATAAATAGATCAAAATTAATATCCTGAAAATCTTGATATATTCAATTGTACCAAATATAATTGTATGCATAGTGAAATTTCATATGTTGAATCCTTGAATCCCCAAAGTACATATTTATTGCTATGTTACCTATAGCATTCAAAACAACATATAGATTGTTATGAACATTTAGTAAAATGCATGAACTTTACCTGCCCTGTTCAATATAAATAAAAAATAATATATTAAAACAAAAATATTTAAAGTATTTTTTTAAAAAGTTAATATTAGAATAATATTTCTTTCAACTAGATTAGGAATACTATTTTAAGTACTTATTCAAAACAATGGAAAAAAATTGCTAGAAGTCAAGTAGCTTATTTGTTTGGAAATGACTCATATGATGTAGCTAAATCGTAAGTATCATACAATTTATTTTAATTTATGAAATGTAATAACCATCGGCATGCTCAGCTTTTTTGAAAAGGGGGGATATGTATTTTAGATTCTGAGTGAAACGATGAATGTATTGCTTTTACAATGATGTGTTTTTTTTTTATTTTTGTGTCTGTCATCACGTTTTAGGACAGTAAAAGTGCTTGGATTTTCTTCAACAGTAGCTTTTCTGATAGGAAAGTGAATCTAGTTGGTACTTTGGGGGGGGGGGGGGTCAAAAGTAAAAATTTCCCAGTAGTTTTTAAAAGCGCCGTGAAAAACAAAAGAAAAATTAAGGAAAAACGGGAATTTTTACGCAAAATCTGTTTTAGAGAAAATCGATTTTGGTTTTTGGTGTAACTCTAAAACAAATTAACGTACATACATGCAATTTTCACTAGTTGTTTATAATTGCATTTTCTATACACAATAACATTTTCAAAATATTTAGATTTATTTTGAACTGTTAAGGGACATTTTCATTTTCCATTTAAAATAGTATGTATAAATAGTATGATTATGGAATAATATTGTTTGTACCTATATTTATTTTCCCTTTTAGATTCTTAGTAGAGCTATGATTGTTTTAGTTGTTTTTATTTTTTTTCCTAGACATTTTTTTAAGTAGAAAAATTGCACAGAGACACAGAGTTCAATCTCCGGGGAGGTTTCTGATAAAAAATTGGATCAAGTTAATTTTTTATGAACTTTCGAATTTAAGAATTGGTCAAAATTTGTAGAAATATTTTGTAGACCAGATGATTTATCATTGAAAATAGATTTAACACATCTATTATAATGACTCAATACTTATATAGCAGAGCGACTTCCTTTTTTTTTTTAGATTGAGTGAAACATATGAAAATATTGATCATTTTGAGGCTAAAGAAAATATCTGCACTCATTGTAGACAACCAGCAAAAAATAGGTGCTCCAAATGCAAAAGACAATGGTATTGCAGCCGGTAATAAAAAAAAAAAAAGTTATAGTAAACTTAAATTTAAAAATAAATAAATAAATTAATGTTCTATTTTCAGGAAATGCCAAGTAACCAATTGGGATGAACATAAAATCATTTGTCAGTAACTAAAATATAATATTTTCTATGCTAGATATATAGAATATATTTATTATTTTGTAAATTTGGATTATATATTAATTTTGATAAATCAGTTATCAATATAGTATTATTCAATAAATGACTGTATCATCTCTAACATAGACTCTGGTTTTGGTTTTTCACATTCCCCAGTTAAAATATAACCAGCTTCCTTAATAGCAGCACCTGTGGTAGGACCAATAGCAAAAATCTGTAAAATTTAAAATTAATATTTATAAGTATAAATAAATTAAACATTGAATAAACACAATTTTTTAATATACTATAATATTGCTGAATTACATTGTTGACAGACAGAAATCACAAATATAAATCAAAACAGTGTTTGATATCTTATATTGCAATTTAATTTGTTTAATCCCTCTAAAAAATACAAAATGAAGCAACTGAGATAGATACCATGATTATTTAGCTCTATCTCATCCTTTTAACTTTAAAATGAGGCTATTTTTGCTTCAGACACGTATAAGGTTATGTAAGATGGGAGTAAGATGGCAATTGAACCGAGAAAAAAATATAAATGGAAAGATCACAAAGACCAAAGCCATCTGTTTTTTTTTGGTTCAGTTATATAAGTGGGTTATTACATCACTGGTTACAACAAAATATTCAACACTAATGTGTTTTTAAATTTCATAAATTAATAATAATACAAGTAATACTTTCAAACAACAGTAATCTTTAGCACAAGCAACAAATACATTTTAAATTTAGAGGAGTTTCACAAAAGTATTTATCCTCATTCTAATATATTTTTTTTTTTTAACTTAATGATGCCTTTTTAAATCATCATGTTTTTAATAATCCGAATGATCAAAATAATTGAAAAATTGTATTTATCAAACAGCATTAATAACAAAATATGTATGATGAGATAAAGTTAATTTATTGTATCTTGCATTCAAATCCTTTATTTAAGCTTTTACTTTTATACTTACATGTAATTGACTAAATAATTGTTTTGGCATCAAATCTAATATTGCACGAAAGCCAGAAGGACTAAAAAAAATAACTCCTATTTGCTCTTTAATTTGATTCAACACCATATTTAAATTTGTCTTTAAATTATTATGTGGTATAGTTCGGTAAACTTCTATATTTTCAAATTTAACAGATTTTATACTATCCGATAGTATATTAATGTTTAGATTTCCACATGGAGCTAATAATGGTTTACTTAATTCATCTAAAAATTAAAAATATGAATTAATAAAACAAAAATACTTCTTATGAAGGTATTTGTTTTTTTTTCTAATACAGTACATTTTAAAATAGTAGGTACTAAAGCCGTAGCATTGCCACTATCAGCTCCAATTGGCTCAAGACCGAGTTCTTTGTTTATTAGCCGGGCTGTTGTTTCTCCTACAACAAATATAGGTTTTTTCTGCCAATTTTCATCTAACTTGCTACCGGCCAAACTCTTGATGATTCCTCTTGCACATCTTGGACTAGTTATTACCATACCTACATAAATAAATAAATATTAATAGTGAATTTATATGGTAAATAATTGTATAGGTACTTTTTCAAAACAAATGTACTTTTAAATGTTTGCAAAAATAATTGTGAAGTTAATTTCAATTAATTAGTCTTGATTTACCTGATAAAATATAGAAATTAGTGTGGGTGGGTACACAAAAATAGTTTACAATCATGATAAATTAAAATAATTTTAATGTCATCAGCAAAACAATGCATAGTAGGTAATGTTAATAATAATGACAAATTATACTGACCAGAATAATCTTGTGGCTTTTGTAGTTTCTGATTAAGCACATCAAAGTTATGATATTCAAATTCTAAAGTGGGAACTAACTGAGTTTCATATCCCTGATTTTTTAAAATAGTTATGTATGGATCTATTGGCTCATTTTCTTCTGAATAAGCTTTAAAAATTATGAAAGTTGTATTAGATTTAGAATGAGACATAACTTAAATTTGTAGTAAAATAAAACTCAATTTCAGTTGGAGAGCAACAATTTACAATATAATACACAAACCACTTTTAAAAAATTTAAAATATGAACATTTTTAAACGAGAACAGTAATAGTAATGTAGTATACTAGTATACAAGTCACTAATACAAGACGTATTAAGTTTACTTTTATAGTTTTTATTATTAAACTCGAATAACTGAAAAATATGTATCAAGTATCAACTAAGATTTAATATTACCCATTGCTTAAGATAAACTTATCTTAAACTATGATATCACCATAGAACCATAAAGATTAAAGATAAGGAGACCAAACTCGTATCACTCGTATAGTCGTATAGCCGCTTGTTTATAAAGTGGCCCGACAAAAGTCGCACGGTTATTCTGCCACCAGGAGCGCGACGTTCGATAGCAGTGCATGTAGTATAATATTGATTATGTACGTTTTTCGAATTAAACTTGATTTATTATGCCTTACAAATACTTTATGATCTAGATCAGATGCAAAACAAATATAAAAGAGTTGGGGGATTTTGGTTAAAATTAGTTTCTATAATAAAAACAAAATATATATATTATAATAATAAGCTATTAAACACATGGGCAAGCCCGGATTAAGACATTTTGAGGCCCAGGGGCCAAAGTTTTAAATGAGGCCCCTGTACGAAAAAAAAAATAATTACATTATTTAATATTAGGTACCTGTCATAATAAATATATATTAGTATTAGTTACAGAGCAATAAATAATGAATAATGTATCACTTTATTTTGTAAATTATAATTTACAAGCTTTTTTCCTCGTTAAATAATCATCGATTTTTTTAGGGGATTTATGCAGTGTTATATAGCCTACAATGAAAAAAGTAATGTAACTAAATAAATTCTAACTATCGAAGCCCGGGAGCCATGGTCCCCTGGACCCCCTCCCCCCCACTAATCAGGGCTTGCACATGGACATGGGTGATTCGTACATGATTAATTATTCATCAAAATATTAAATTTTTAAATAGACTATGCATACAATGATATTATACATTAATAATAAATTATACATTTAAAAATCAAAATTATTTTTAGAGATTTTTTGGAATGATGCGTTCAGCTTGTGGTTCTAATGATCATCCGGATTCCATTCTTTTTATACACATTTTTAGATTACTAAGTACATACCTATTCACTTGTAAAGCCTCCAAAGGGTTCCAATGTCTCCGGTGAAGATATGATGAATACTCTTTTGAGTATTAAAGATATAACCAACATTAATGAACGAGCCCAAAGAATTAATCAAGAACTAGATGACATTTTAGACAAAGGACATACTAAAAAAATTTAATTTACTTCATATATTCATGATCATGAATATAGTTTGACTGATACATCGAGCTTAGTTTTATCTTACTTAGCTGGATACGTTGCTCGAAAATCAACCAGATTCACAAAATGTCAAAGGTGTCTTTTAAGTTTAAAAAATGAAGTTATTTCATCTATAGACAAACTCATTGATATGCGCTCCAAAGGTTTTTTGATTCGGCCATCAGATAGTCTTTTTGCTCTTATTTCAACCTTAGAAAAAATAACATTACAGACTTTAGTATCCGAAGAATTAAATGTAAATACCATTTTTTCTATAACTTCCAACTTATTGTCGGACACAGCATCGTTACCATTTGTTGGTTGTGACTTGTGAAGAACACAATATGGGTTTGACGAAAAGTATTGTACGCTCTTTTATTACAATGTGTATGCATTTTATTTTAAGACATTCAAACTACAATGAAACAACAACAAAAAAAGGAAAAAACCAAGTGTAGTAGAAAGTTGTCAAAACTTTAATTGATGTACCTATTATTTTTATATGTATTATGTACCATACCTATGTATTTTATGTTTCATTTATCATTATTAATTAGACTCAGCATGTTTTTATTTATATTTTTCAATATTTAGTATTATTCACTATTAATTATGATGTTGTTCTAAAGTAAGAATTCGTCAAACAGTTAATGTGATTGCCGATTGGTTTATATATAAAACAATAAAACTATAATAATGTTTTGGTATAATATGATAAAGAATAAACAAAATCCTAGAGACATTTTTCAATTATTTAAATCACTATTTACCAACAATATTGCTTTTTTACTTATAGAGTTTTTGATCTAAGCCGATTTTTTAGTATCTCTATCTATTTTGTTTTTAAGTGGGCATCATAAAACAATAACTATTTTTTAAAAAAATAATAAAATATTTGTTGTATCTAATTCAAAAACGAATGATTGTAGACACATGAAAATTTCACTGAATGTTTATATTAGCAATTCCTATACAGCATATAATTTTGAAAATATCTTGACTCTTTTTGAGCTGTTTACGGACATTTTCATTTTTAAAATTTTTTAGTTATTTTTTCTATAAATATCAATAAAGTTTTATCTGTTGGGCCAAAAAGTGTAAAAATTTAATACAAAGCTCCTGATATATTGTTACAATAGCAGTTGAAAAATATTAAAAATACATAGAGACAATTTTTTTTTATAAGCATTTAAAGATCGAATTTTGACAAAATTTATCAAATTTAAAATTGAATAATTATTTTTTGGTTAAAAATTTATAAAATGTTCAACTTTTATATCTAAGGAATGAAAATTTAAAAAAAGTTTCTACGTAGGTGGTTAATTCTGTTAACAAAAAATCTAAAAAAATACATAATCAAATTTTATTTTTATAGTCATTTTAAGTTCAAATTTGGACGAAATTACATATTAAAAAACCTAGAATAACTATTTTAGTTATTTGGTTGTGATCATGTATAATATTATTCGTGGGTACTTGAAACTTCTAAAGTATACTATTATATATCAATGATAGTATCAATGTATCATGGTTTGTTGTTGATGTATACGCGTTGTAATAGTACCTAATGCACATTGTGATATGATTAATTTGGAATTTAGTATAGGTACCTTAACCGTACCTGGTACCTATAATATTTCAATTTTTTTTTAATACCATAGATAAGTACCTATATAGTATGTCTTATACCTAGACTGACCGTCTCCGCTCAGAATCGTTTTTCTTATACAATGATATTATATCATTGAATTCAAAATTAATACCATCCATTATTCAGTGACCCACTTGTAAAGTTGTAACCTACTGTACAGCAGAGCACCTTTTTTTTTATTCATATTTTTTTTTTTTATTTTTATATTTTATACATATTTTTTTGTATTTGACAATGTGAATGTGCCGACTGAAATATTAGGATAAATGAGTGAGAGGTTGTGTCAACCCCCCCCCCCCTAACTCCGGCCCTGGAGCTACTTACCTATATATAAAATGTACAACGATTCATCGTTAAATATATTGCATGATGTAATGTTATGCATAATATTATTCATAGGCACAATTTCAACTTTTGGCTTGGGGAGGGGGCTGAATATATTAAAGGCAAGCAAACCATTGCAATATACCATCAGGGGCGGACCCAGGGGGGGGATTGGGAGGTCAGCTGACCCACAGTTGTTTTCCCAGTTAAATGTGGCCCCTCGAAATGGCAAACTATAAAAACATTTTTTTATTTGAAAAAACTATGTACAGTGGTGAATTTAGAGGAGAGGCACGTGCCCCTTGTCAATTTTCTGTCGACAAGTTGTTATGTAACTACGAGTATCATATAAATGAAACATTCAGTTGATAAGGATAATACTACCAACTATTAATTATTACTTATTATAATCATTATTGATAGTATGTATGTATTATTAATTAAAATTAAAATTATACAATTTATATGTGCCCCCCCCCCCTTCAAAATATCGAAGATCTGCTATTATGATATAGGGGTATATCGTATAATATACAGCTGTGAAGACTGAGTATTGAAGTAAAATAACGCGTACGAAATCGTGTTTAAGCTTATCAACTTATAATGTACGTACCTAAAATTCGATAAACACAAGTATAAAAATATGTTGGATATAGATATTATATAAGATTTTATGAAGTTGACATAGATGAAATTGATATAGAAGTGGAATACCGTTCATTACATCTAGTTTACCAACAAATGGCAAAACTATTGAAACTGGAGTAACTGGAACTTTAAAATTAAATGATGTATTGAAAATTCATGATATCATGAGACATGGTTTCTTCATATCCAAATTTATATACTTTGTATACAATTTTTTATACACTACCAGTCTGCAGTGCAACTGCAGAAAGAAGTTTTAGCGTTCTAAAACTTCTCAAAACATGCCTTAGCTCAACTATGACTGAAGACCGGCTATCAAATTTGGCCATATTGAGCATAGAAAGCAACATAGCTCAAACCATTGATTTTGTTAACGTAATAAGTACATAATTCGCACTAATGAAAAAGCGCAGAAAATGATTGTCATGTTTTAGTTCTTTACTATTATTTTCATGTAGGTATTATTAAATATAAATTTTATTAATGTATTATTGTTGACTTTTCTATTGTATTAGAATTTAGAACCACCTATTCTATATCTCTTGTGAAAATGAAATCAGTCATTGAAAACTAAAATAAAATAAATATACTGCAAATATACGTATACAAATAAAATAATAAATTTGTATAATTTCTTCTAATGATTTAAATATGTCAGGTAAATTTTTTAATTGAATATAAATTTTAATGCAACAAATAACAATAAAAATAAATTAAATATAGCTATTAATTTTACAATTTACTTAAAAATATGTGATATAGTTGTATTGAACGTTGGTATCAAAATGTGATGTAAATAACTAATAAGGTAAATCGCGAGCCCAGAGTGACTTTGTAATACCTAACTATATAGGTAGTTGGTTGAAGTTTCTACACAGTGGCCTCTCGTAAGTAAGGCAGATCCACAGTTCTAAAATCCTGGGTACGCCACTGTATACCATATTAAAATTGTATGTCCTAGGTTTTTTTTATGGGGGCTTAGCACCTCTAAGCCCCCCCCCCCCAATTTGAGCC